TCTGTTCAAACAACGTATTCTCTGTTCGATATTATTCAAAATGTATCTATAGAAAACGTTAAAACATTGAAAACGCAGTAGAAAAAATATTGGACTACCGAACACAACAACATTGGTATATTACATTTTGTCATTTACAGATTATTAACTGGTCATAGCACAAAACCATGAATTTATTGAATATACAAGAACCGTAATTGATAGACATAAAAAAAACAACCGACGAAATGTTTACTTTCTTCTCAATAGTGTTATTTAGTATTCGTCAATATCAAATAAAGAAATAGAAGAAGAAATCACTTAAATTAGGTAGAAAGTATAAATCGAGATATAAAAGGGAGATCTATAAAAAAAACTTTGAACGAGCCGGTAGGAAGGGCGATTGTTAACGTATTGCTTTACAATAAATATAGAGTCCATTTGTTCTGTACGTCATAACTGGAATTGGCTAAACCTCATATAATAGAACGAATAGCGGCCAAATATGGAAAAATTAGACATATTTTTGGCGCTATTTGCATATACAATTTGTTAAAAGAAGTTTAAAAAAAGGTGTATAAGTAATTATCCTAATAATGCTACGAATATTGAGAAAGAATTATTAAATGTTACTTTGGTTTCCGATATTGATTGATATTAATATTTGCTTACTCCAGGAAAATTAATTTAAAATGTTTGACCAATATCTACACTTTTCAATATCAATATTTGGTTAGGTCTAAAGGCCAAACTGTTTTAATAAATACCGTTACCACATATAGTGTAAATTTTCCTATTTTATGAGCCATTTATTTGTCCTTTGTATATTTGCAGTATTTAATATTTATTTATTGATTTTCGTAATTATGCATGATAATTATAATATGTTAATATGTTTTGTTATTGCTCAAGGAATTGTCAAACTGGAAAAATCTGGGCAGTGATTAGGTATTGCGTATGATATTATTTGTAGTGCGCTTAAGGAATTTTTAATAATAAATGCCCTATTATACGATGTTTATCTGTAGAAACGTGTCTATAAGACACCAATATAGAAATGCATCTATAGAAACTATTTCAAAAGGTCGTTTTGCTGGACCTTAGTGTGACATTCATCCATATGTTGGTTTTCTTCTTGATTTATTTTTCAAACAAATTTCACAGATTACATATTTTTCTTATAATTTTTAACAAGTTTTTTGTTGTATAAAATAAAGTTATTTTGTTCATTATCAGTATTTTCCCTAAATGGCAATAGGTATCATGTGTAGTTTTTATTAGATCTATACTAAATTTTTATGATATTAAAATTTTCTCTCTTTTTTGTATTTTTCTATAATATATTCCATTATGTCAAATTAATTGACATAATGGAATGAAAATAATATATTCCTTAAATGTCAAATTACTATTGTGTAAATCTATTTGATCTTGTTTTATCTCTGCAATGTCTATTGTGTAAATTCATCTTATTGATTCACTAATTTGTGAATTACTATAATAGTGGTTTATAAACTTAATAAAATCGTCAGATAGTCCGCTTCTTGGTTTGTTGCCCCTGGATTATATTTAACCCTAAAGTTTTATTGTGATAAGTAGTAAGCCAAATCACGTAATTCTTTATTCGTTCTAGCTTTAAAATTCATAAAGGTTTATGATCAGAATATACCTTAAATTATTTGCTCATTAGCCAATGTTGCTAATAGTTTACTGCTTCTTTTATGGCTAAGCATTCTAGATATAGGTAAAGAAATAATAATAAGATCCATCAATTAATAGAGTACCGGCATGTAAGTAATGTTTGTTTTGTTTTATTTATTTGCTCATTTATTAATTTATTACAATATAAGATTGCTACTTTATACCAATTGTGGTTCTTACCTTGTCTGCTAATACCTTTTATATATTCAAATTATTCATTTTGAAAACCACAGACATGTAATATTGGCATAATTACTATAATTTGTATGAACTAATTTATTTGTTTATTTTATCTTTATGAGACACCACCCTAATTGGGTTTATTTTATTGCAGCATTAGTTTAACTTTGTATCTCGACCTGAAGATGCTTTGCAAATTGTAGAAAGCGAAACCGGTCGTCAGATTGTTAAATTAAATTGATTGTGAGTAAGTCTTATTATTATTTCTTTACCTATTTGATATGGACTCACACAAGCAACACATTCATGACATTCTAGATATGTGTATGGCTCTTTTTTGCTGCTGTTAACTTTTTTGAAACATAGGCCACTGGTCTACTCTTCGTAGACCCATTTTCATCGTTATCTTCAAGCACAGCTCCCAGACCAGTCATGCATGCATCTGTGTAAATTTAAATTGGAACATTTGGGTCAGATATCTTCAGAATTACTTGTCATCACCATCATCACCATCATCATCATCAATGGCGCTACAACTCTTCGTGGGTCTTTGCCGCGTTTACTATTGCCTTCCATGTTTGTCGGTCCTGTGTCAGTAATTCCCATTGTCGTACTCCCATCTTCTCTAGATCTTCTCTGACTGCATCTTTCCACCTTTTTCTAGGCCGCCCTACAGACCTTCTTCCATCTGGCCTTTCCCAGAACACATTGTTTATAAGGCGATTGTCACTACTGCGTATCACATGTCCTGCCCATCTGAGTCTATTGGCCTTTATATATCTGACTAGATTTTCTCTTTCGAATAGAGACTCTAGCTCGTTATTGTATATGCCCCTCCATTCGTTTGTCACGCTGTCTCTGTAAGGGCCATATATCATTCGAAGAATTTTACGTTCCCATACCAGCAATTTATTTACTTCTCTTTTTGTTATCGTCCATGTTTCGCTTCCATACGCGACTGTTGGTCGTATTATAGTCTTATATATCCGGATCTTTGCACCTCGTGAAAGAAGTTTCGACTTCATTAGATGTTGCATTGCAAAGAAAGATCTATTTCCTGCCATTATTCTTGTTTCAACTTCTCGCTCTAATTTGGTGTCATTTGTGATTGTTGCTCCTAGATATTTAAATTCTTTAACCACTTCGAAGTTGTGATCATTTATGGTAATGTTTTGCCTTATTCGCCGTCGTTTTTGTTTTGAGACAACCATGTATTTTGTTTTGTCTTCATTTATTTTTAGACCGATGTTTAATGCAGCTTCTTTAAAGCTCGAGAAGATATCCTTAATTTCTAATGTTGGTTGTGCTACTGCATCTACGTCATCGGCAAAGCCGAGTATGATTTTTGCTCCCCGAGCAGTTATGTCTGGTTTGATTTTTGGATATTCAGAATTGCTTGTGAACACACCAAATTTTTATCTTATCAAAGTCTTCTTGACATTCTGTTGTCCAAATGAACTTAGTATAAAGAAAATTTATTTCAAATCCTTTATAAAAGGTATATAATAAAAGGCCCAAACGGGCTATCACAAATATATTACAAAACGTTTTAAAACCCTTTAAATTATATAAATTTACAGTTGCTTTACATTATATGTGGTTACAAATTATGATGTTTAAGTTAAACTTTTCACTTTTTGGAAAGTATATTACATGGAGATTTAAAATTATATTATGTATATGGTGATTGGAGATTGGACGATGAAAAAATAAGATTCTTAGAAAAAAGAATAAACAAGAAAGCAATAAATAAAGAAAAATATTTTAAAATGGTGGAAGCTGATCAATAAAACATTGTAGTGTATTTGAAGAAGCAATTTTACAAAAAGAAGGATAACCGAGGCTGATAACGAAGAGATTAATTTGTGATTAAAACCTTTATTTTGGAAAACGGTCGATCAGATAGCTCAGCGGGCTGTGCGGCTGCCTCTCATTCGCTTCACTGTCGAATGGTTCAGTGGATGTGGGATCAAGCCCCAGCTCGGTGTACACAAAAAAAAAGTCTAACGCAGCAGTTTAAAATTCTAGATGAATCTGCGGCTTAGACTAGGATATGCTGGGATCTGATCGGCCTATGGTGGAGTAGTACGGCAAGAGATAAGGGCTTGCGGCTCGGTGATACTCCTCCATAGATCCCTACCGGACGGACGTAACGCCTAAAAAACCGGAGATATATATTTTGGAAAACAGTTTCGTTTAGGCATTCAGTGACAGAAAGATACCAAATTTTGTTAATATAATTTAATTTCAAATTTAAGATAGGTTGTTCTAAATTTATATTGTCTATATTAGATATATATATATATATATATATATATATATATATATATATATATATGTGTGTGTGTGTGTGTATGTTTCATAATAATTATAATAAAGATAATTTAAAAAAGTACTTACAAACTAATTCTTTGAGAACCGCGATTAAAACCCTATACTTATATATGTTATTTTAAAATACTCTTTGCTCATACACAAACAAAAGTCTCATGTACAAAACAAAGCACACTATTCTTTATATCGTGTCCTCTCATTTCCTTTGTCGCATGTTAGGATTCTATTAGCTCTTTATTTTATACTTAGCCTGAGGCCTTCTTTAAGTTAATAAATTAAAACTGTTCTTATGGTAAATCTGTTTTTATCCATAGTGCTCTATGATATCTCGTATGTCGCCATACCTTCAATAATTATGAACATACTATGTAGTATCCTTTTAGTAGTCGCCTTGTTTGTTTTTTCTATCTGAATATATTCATTATATCCTCCCCTTTCATTTGCCATGTCGCATGTTAGGATTCGATTAGTTGTTTATTTTGTGCTCAGCCAGAGGCCTTATTTAACTCAATAAATTAAAATTTTTCTCGCCGTAAATCTGTTTTTATCCATAGTGTCCTATGTCATTACCCCTCAGATCCACCGTCTTTGATACTTCTTCGTCTACCGTCTTTCATTTAATTTTTGTTTTACTACGAATTACCTACTATAATTTTAATGTGTTAAAAATAATGAAATATATAAAACACCGGTATTTTTTTTTGTACAAACTAATTTGCAAACTGCCGGTTAATTTCAATTTCATATATAATTATTTTAAGTTCACAAAATAAATTGTTACTAATTTATTTCTTTTTCTATTTCAGTCGATGTGACGTTCATAATAGACATTCTAATAAACTTCCGCACAACATATGTCACCGGAAATGACGAAGTTGTGTCGGATCCGGGGAAAATCGCCTTTCACTACTTGAAAGGATGGTTTCTGATCGACTTGGTGGCGGCGGTACCCTTCGACCTCCTCTTCTTCGGTACCGACACAGATGAAGTGAGTACTAAAGAAGTATGTATTACTACCGGAATATCTCTTTTGGAATGTCCTGAAGGGTTTTTTTTATGTTCGTGTGTCTAACGGATCAATATGTCGTAATGTTACTAACAGAAGTTATATAGTTATGTTACTATTGAGTAGTGGAAACTGTTACTAACGTTAGCAGTAAAGAGTAACCTAATTTAAAATTATTTATTGGCTTCATTTGGTGTATTGATTAATAATTGGCAAAATTTTAACACTTTCATTTTAATAAAAATTGTTTATACTTACTTTATTTCCAAAATTATAGAATAATAATACTGTTTTACTTCAAAATCTATCAAAATTTGTAAAATTAGGTTAAAATATCAAGAAAAATGTTTGTTTTCTTATACCAGTATTGTATTACTTATATTATTCGTTTTACAGTATATTCCTCATATTTATTTTGACCTTATACGTAATTGCCGTCAGTGTTAAATCTAACAATATTACAATCCTTCAAAGAAATTTTTGATCTAATGACCTGCCACTAGATCTTTTTTGGTCTGCGACATGTATTTCTTCGAGGCAATTTTTGAAATGAGTGACTCCCATATATCTACGTTGAATATGTCTCAACAATCTTAAGGAGTACTGTCTCATGTTAGCATCAATAGTTAATACACCTAGTATATTTTCTCCAATGTATTAGCTTATAATTTTAACTCCTTTTTGTAACTCTCCCCAGCTTTTCCATTTCTTCAATATATATATTCATTGTGTTTATTGTTCTCTTTAATTGGCCTATAAATAATAAACTGGTATTACTTAAATTAATCATCGTTAAATATCATTCTATTAGCATCATTGATTTTATTTTCACATTAAAATTAAAAATATTCTGCGTGTGATCTGTAAAAGCTTCAACCTTTTGCTTCAAAAGCATATCTTTTGAATCTATGCTAGTTTTTGTTCGAATAATTGATCAGTATTTCTTACCAACACCAAATTAGCAGACATTACAAACCAAGAAAGATCTTCTGACATTTTTCTGTGCTGCTCTCCAATATAATTGATCAGTCTCTCTACGGTAATAATTGATGTTATTCTGATACACCCAGGTGCATAAAAAGGGCCGCCTTAAAATGTTAACAAATATTGATATTTAATAACTTTTTTTAATAATGGTTTAATTATATTAATGGTAAAAAGAAGACGTAAATAACCTAAACTAAGCAATAGTAGATACATTAACACAAGCTCAGGAAAAATTTCTAAACATGGAAATAATCTAAACATGGAAAAGAACAAAAAATTAGTAAAGAAACGAAACAAAAAATGGAAGATCATAGAATGCTGAGAAGTCAAGGAAATGTTGACTCACAAGATATAAACAGCATCAATAAAGAAATCTCTAAAGCCATCAGACGGGATATTAGAAAACACAACAACGAGAAAATTATAAAAGCTATAGAAGACAACAACAGCATGAAAACATTGGGGAAAAAAAATGGAAAATGGCAAAAAAAATCTTCCAATTTAAAGACAAAAATGGAAATATTATCTCAGATAGACCAAGCATATTACATATAGTGGAAAGTTTCTATGAAACATTATATAAAAGTCAAATTATTCCAGAGCTCATCGAACAACCAATACAGTAGGTACTTAATGGTACTTAATGTACTAGATACAAAGGTACTTAATGTAGGATCGGAGGATATACCAGATATATCAGGAGAGGAAATTCAACATGCCCTCAAAAATATGAAAAATAATAGAGCTCCGGGGTAAGATGGTGTAGTCATTAAGACAATTAAACTAGGAGGTCCACTTTTGATGCCCTGAATCCAAACACTTTTTAATCTATGTCTGCATAATGAAAACATTCCAAGGAAATGGAAAAATTCGGTTACAATCCTCCTCCACAAAAAAAACGGGATAAATCAGATCTCGAAAACTATAGGCCAATTAGTTTGCTTAACCACCTATACAAGCTCTTTACTCGAATACTGACAAACAGATTAGAAGCAAAACTCGATTTCTATCAATCAGAAGAACGGGCAGGATTTCGAGCAGGACACGGAACAAACGTGCCTTCATTTGCAATGCCTTAAAACTGTAGTTGAAAAGTCTATCGAATATAACAGACCCCTTGCTCTTATCTTTTTCGACTTCCACAAAGCATTTGACACAGTCGAAACAGTTGCTATCTTAAAAGCACTATCAAAATGCAGAATAGATCACAGGTATGCAAATATTATTCGAAATATATACGAATATGCGATAACAACGGTTAACCTCCATTGCATGACTGAGAAGATAAAAATTGGTAGAGGGGTGGGGCAGGGAGATACCTTGTCGCCAAAACTATTTATGCGTACTTCATAACAGTTATAGAGTACGCATTTAAACGGCTAGAGTGGGAATCAAAGGGTATTAGCATATTAGCATCGATGGAAAGATATTCAATAATCTCAGATATGCCGATGATATTGTTCTCATAACAGACAACTTAGGAGAAGCCAGAGTTATGCTACAACAACTACAGCAAGTAACCCAGAAAGTCGGTTTAAAAATAAACTATAGAAAAACAAAAATGATGACCAATCTCGTCCCCAATGAGCTAATAAAAATCGAAAAGTCGCCCATAGAACTCGTGGAAAAATATGTGTATTCGGGTCACGAAATAAGGTTAACGCGAGATAACCAAACATGCGAGCTACTCAGAAGCAAAAGTCCGGAAAAATGAGAGACGTATTTATAACAAATATACCGATCCATTTAAAAAGAAAAGCTTTTAACCAGTGCGTTCTACCAGTCCTCACATACGAAGCAGAAACCTTGACTCTCACAAAAACATCAGCCGAAAAATTGAGAAGGGCACAACGAAAGATGGAGAGATCAATGCTTGGAATAAGCTTAAGAAATAGAATAAGAAACGAGGAAGTTCGTAGATGAACCGTATCGAACATATTACAAGGCAAAAATGGAGATGGGCAGGACATGTTGCAAGAATGAAAGATGACAGTTGGGCAAAAAAATTGCTTGATTGGAGACCACGGGCTGACAAGCGAAACCGAGGAAGACCCCAACGCGATGGACCGACGACCTCAACAGAATCGTGACCAATTGGATAGCAGAGGCGCAGAACAGAAGCAGATGGAAAAGTCTAGAGGAGGCCTATATTCAAGAATGGACAACTCAGGGCTGATTGATGATGATGATGGTGACCCTCTCTAATGGTTTACCGTCTAATGTTAGATGTATGTTGTCAACAAGGGTTTTCGAGAATACCATGTATTTGTTTTTATCTATATTTATTGTTAGTCACTTTTTATTTTCACTTTCTCTGTTAATAATTTCTATAAGAATATATATAGAATATATATCATATTTATTTTGGGATGATTTCATTTTACTTGTCCATAAAATTATTAAAATTAAGGCATATATAAAAAAGTTATTAAAACAAAAATTTGTTAACATTTAAAGCAGCCGTGTATTGTATATTTTCCCCAATGGAAAATAGAAGAAGTAGAAGAAGAATTAAAGTTTCGCAAAATGTATGTGATAACATTATTGCACTAACAAAAAATTCAATAAAATGGAAAAAAAACATTCAATATTACCTCTTTTAAAGAAGGAAGAAAACGGAAATATAACCATAATGATCGGAAATAAAGGATTAGGCACTCAAAAGATCCATTTTGATATTTATTGGATATTTATTGGATTTTGTTAAAAATGCTAAAACAAATCGATTTTTATTCTAAAGAGGTCATCTTTTAACGATATAGATACCTCTTATTTGTCCACTGCCTCCAGTCTAGCAACAAAAACCTTAATTTTAAGTAGGAACTAGACCATGTGTGGCACATCATTAGACAGCTATTTCGCTGGAGAACTCAGGCGTTCATGATTTTTCATTTCATATTAACTCCATTCTTGTGAAAAAAAATCAATTGATTAAAAGTCTCACACCTCTTAAAAACTAAACGTGACGCCTATGTTTTGCTAGTATTAATGACAAATTTTGTCCTTCACGTCAAAAACTACATTAAAAATTATGTTTGCAAAATGTTAAGTTATTTGAACTGTTGTTGGTAGTGTTTAATAGCGATATTAAATAAGAATTCTTCTTGACAAATGACAGATATCTATCTAATTCTATATCGTTAAAAGATTACCCCTTTGGAATAAAAATCGTCTTACTTTAGCATTTTCACAAAATCCAATAAATATTGAGAAATATCAGAGTGGACTCTTTGGTGTGGCCAACCCTTTATATCGGTATAGTTGAAAGGCACGACTTAAAGATGTCGATTACTATGAAAACCTCTGAAAAATTTAAAGACAGCTGAAAATATACTAGAAAGCTTACTCTAAAAAAATAATGGAATATAAAAAGCAGTAATGAAACTAAAATCAACTGTTTATAATGTGCAATAAACATCAAATATTAATGCTATTGAACAGCATTACGTATCTGTTATTATTAGTTGAAATAGAAATTTGATCGATAGTTTTAAAATTATAATAACAATGACTGTTAATCCATTGCATACACAACAGAAAAGCTATGTGATACCTACATAATTCTAAGAAAATTTCTTAAAGAGACTCAGACTGAGCACTATTTCTTCGAAAATATAGAAAAGTAACGTGCAAACAAAGAATTTAATTGGCAAAGAACCACATAACAATAAAAACTAAATTTTCAAAAAGAGAGTGAAAGATGCAAAACAAAAATCCTGGGAAGAATTTGGTAATAGCTTACATGAAGAATAAGATCAAAGCATTAAATGGGCAAAAATAGGCAGAAATATACGAGATAAAAGATGGAAATAATACGGTACATAAACCACACGAAATGCTAAAAGTCTGAAAAGATCTGTAAATTTAAATTAAAAGAAGACTCAAGCCTGGACTCAAATGACACAACCTCAAGAGAAGAAAAGGGAAGTCATCGAAGCAACAAAAATAATTGAAAAACGGGAAAATTAAAGAAAAATGAGGAATAGAAATGATAAAATGGATGGACAAGGTAACCATAAATAAGTCCTGAATCATGTATAATAAATCATTAAAGCAATATAAAATACCAAAAGATTGGA